TACACGTGATAGTGTACTGGAAAAACACAATATCTGATTTTCATTTGAATAAATAACAAGACATAAGACATTGTTAATGAGGTAATGGAACAGAAAAAAAATTCACTCTTTTAATTTAGGCAAAATTTATTTAAAGTCTCAGTGAGCAAGACAATCCTTAGAACCTTGTGTGTCTTTGTATTCACATACACTCTACTCTTTTCCAGGGCTGATGGTTGCTGCATGAGAAGATGAGCTTAAGATACAGCTTAGTGTTAGAAGAATTGACGTGCATGCACAAGGCTCTGGGTGCTATCTCCAACACCACAAGAAAAAATAAATACTTATAGAAAGTTAAGCTTTCTGGCTTACTACCCCTTTCCTTATGCTGGTGGGGGCGCTGTCCACGGTGCTGAGAATCTCCTCTCTGGTAGGCATGGACAGTCTTGGTTCTTTCTCCATTCATCCCAGCCTCAAGTGCCTGGTCTTCAGAGGCACTTCATGATCCAACAACTTCTATTTTTTAACTCCAGATTGTCCTCCACTCTGGAAAATTTGTTGTTTTTTTGCAATAGCAACTTTGAAAGGAGCCTCCTGTCTCTTTGGCTTTCCCAAGGACATTCTGGGAATAGAAGGGTTCTGCTTCCTCCTTCCCCAGTCTAAAATTTTATTTATTTTGTTAGGCCATAGAAATGGAGTTCTCCCAGTTTGACAGATATAGGGTTGGCGGCCACCAGAAGCACTGCAAAGATCCCAGAAGCCTTCCTAATTGTTCCAGATGGATTTTCTGCCTCTGGGAGAAGTTGCTGGATGAAGATTCTCAAAGAAACAAACAGCTTTAAAATGTGTTTTCCACCAATACACAAGTATTAGAGACTTACAGGGAGGGCCAGCTGATCTATGCCTTTCTTCATTGGTAGATCCTCAACTGAGCCCTTTCTTTTAAGTATCACGAGGTCAGAGAAATGGAGTGGTACAATAAAGTTTCTCAACAAAACCCAAGGTCCATCCTTTAGAAAAGAGAAATGGGGGGAGAAACTCAGTCACAAAGGAAGGTTTTTATTCTGAATCTTTCTTTCTAAAATCCAAACTCCATCTTCCCTAGTCTTCTCACAAGGTGTGGAAATCAGTCTTCTGACACTACTCTCCCCAGCTGAAGGTGTTGGAAAAAGGGACATGACCCAGTTAACATTTCATTGAGAGCCTATAGGAATAAAGGATCCTCAGAGAGGACTAAGTTTATTTCTCTTTTAATAGTTATCCCTTAATTTAGTCCTACTTCTAGGAAAAGAAAATTATAGGCATCCAAAGTATAGACCAATTTTAATAATCTCAATAAAGGATACCGATTCATTTGCTTTCTCTGAATATCACATACTTCCTAAGAATGATCTAAGAAAAAATACAGACTGCAGTTCACACAAACCACATGTTGAATTGACCTTTCATCCCAGGGATAAATCTAACTTTTTGATGATGATTAATCCTTTTCAGGTATGGTTGAATTCAGGTTTGCTAATATTTTGCTGAGGATTTTTGCACTTAGTTTCAGCAGGGATACTGATCTGTAATTTTCTTATCTTGTAGTGTTCTTGTCTGACTTTAGTATCATGATAATGCTGACCTCATAAAAATGGGTTTAGAATAGTCTTTTCATTTTTTTGTAAGAGTTTGAGAAGGATTGATATTAGTTCTAATTTAAATGTTAGGTGAAATTCAACAGCAAATATATTAGGTTCTGGGCTTTTCTTTGATGGGAGACTTTTTTATTACCGATTCAACTTTATTACTCATCATTGTTCTGTTCAGAGTTTTAATTTTTTCTTGTTTCAATATTGGTAGCTTGTATGTTTCTAGAAGCTTATTGATATCCAACTTTTGGTATATAATTGCTCTCTAATTGCTCATTGTAGTATTTCATGATCTTTTGTATTTCTGTGATATCAGTTGCAATGTCTTCTTCAATTTCTGATTTTATTTATTTGAGACTCTTCTTTTAATGTCTCCTTATTAATTTACTGACTGAATGACGTATCCATTATTGAAAGTAGAGTATTGAACCCCCCCTGGCATTTTTGCTGCCTTCAGGTCTGTTAATGTTGTTTTATATATTTTATAAATAAATGTCCAGCTAAACAAATATCTAATGTTGAGTGCATAAATATCTATAATTGTTATAGCCTCTCATTGAATTAACCCCTTTGTCATTATGTAATGAACTTCTTAGTCTTTTTTATTTGATTTTTTGACTTAAAGTCTACTTCATCTAGTACAAGTATAGCTACATTTGCTGTCTTTGGGATTCCATTTGCCAGAATACCTTTTTCCACCCTTTAGTTTCAGTTTGTGTGTCCTTAAAGCTGAGTCTCCTGTGGATAGTATATAGCTGGGTTTTGTTTTTTACCTACTCAGCCACTCTTTGTGTTTTTTTTTTTTTTTTTTTTGTAGTTACAGCTAGACATTTGTTTATTTTTTAAATGTGGTGCTGAGGATTGAACCCAGTGCCTCACTCGTGCTAGGCAAGCGCTCTACCACTGAGTTACAGCCCCAGTCCACTCTTTGTATTTTGATTGGAGAATTTAATCCGTTTATATTCAAAGACTTTATTAATAGATAAAGATTTACAACTCCCATTTTGTTGTTTTCTTTTCTTTGTTTTTTTTTTTTCCTTTTTGGTAGTTGTAGATGGATAGCATGACTTTATTTTATTTGTGTATTTTTTTATGTGGTGCTGAGGATTGAACCAAGTGCTCCCACACCCACCGCAAGCGCTCTGCCACTGAGCTACAGCCCCAGCCCCTGTTTTCTTGTTTTGTAGATTCTCTGTTCTTTCTTCCTGTTTTGTTCTCTTCTTTTGTGATTTAATGAATTTCTGTAGTGTATTATACCTTGAATCCTTTTTCTTTATCTTTTGTAAATCCACTACATGTATTTGCTTTACAGTTACCATGAAACTGACTCAAAACATTATATAGCTGTGTGGGCTATTGTAAGTGAATAATCACATAATTTCAATTGCATATGAAAGCTACACTTTCATTTCTCCTCTCCACACTTTGTTTTTGATGTCATAATTTACATATTTTAATATTAACTATTACCCTTTAAATTTTTATAGTTACACTTACTTTAATAGTTCATCTTTTAAACTTTATAATATAAATGTAAGTGATTTGCATACTACCATTAGACTTACGTTCTCAGGGGCTGTGGTTGTAGCTCAGTGGTAGAGCACTTGCCTAACATGTGTGAAGCACTGAGTTTGACCCTCAGCAACACGTAAATGTTTCATATTGGAAAAAAAAATACTTTCACCAGTGAGTTTTATACTTCTATGTTACAAATTAACATTCTTTCAAGTTGGATGAACTTCCTTTAGTATTTTTTATAAGGCAGGTCTTCCAGTGATGATTTCCACAACTTATGCTTGCCTTAGAAAGTCTTTATCTTCCCTGTATTTCTGAAGGACTTTGCTTTGCTGGCTAAAAATATTCTTGATTGGCACTTTTTCTTTTCTTCCAGCCCTTTGCCTGTATCATTCCATTCTTTCCTGCCCTACAAAATTTCTGCTGAGAAATCCACTGATAGCCTATGGAGGCTCTTTTGTATGTAAGATTTTTTTTTCTGTTGATGTCCTCAAGATTCTCTATTTATCTTTGATTTTTGACAGTTTGAAATATATAATGTGATGTAATCTTCTTTGTATTGAATCTGATTAGAGACTTTCCTATACCTACATATTTATGCCTTTCCCCAGATTTGGAAAATTTTCAGCTATGATTTCTTAAAATAAGCTTCTGTCCTTTTCTGTCTCTCTTCCCTTTGTGAACTCCCACATCATGAGAGCTATCACTCTTGATGCTGTTCTATGAACCCTCTTTAATCATTTTTATTCTTTTTTTCTCTTTTCTCCTCAGTCTGTATCTTTTCAATTATTCTGTCTCAAGTTTACAAATTCTTTCTTCTGCCTGGTCAATTCTGCTGGTAGTGTTTTCTACTGCATTTTTTTTTTTCATTGTATTCCTCAACTCTAGAATTTTCGTTTGGTTCTTTTTATTATTACAACCCATTAAATTTCCCATTTTGTTCATTTATTGTTGCTCTGATTTTGTTAAGTATTTTCTGAAAGCTCACTGAGCTTCTGTCAAACAATTATTTTTTAATTCTTTGTCAGGCCATTGACAGATCTCCACTTGGAGAATTAAAGTTACTGGAACATTACTGTGTTCCTTTGGTAACATTATGTTCCATTCATTTCTCCTGTTCCTTTTTGCCCTGTGTTGATGTATGCATACTAACAGTAATAATAAACAACCTAGGTACTTAAAGATCCAGGTCTCTCGGTTCTATCCCCCAAAATTGGGTCAAGCTGGGAGAGGGCCCAGGATTTACTGTTGATGGTGCTGGTCTGAGAACTGCTCTTGAGGAAGCACCATGCAAACCCCTTAAGACTTAGCTGCTTCCAAAGTAAAATGTAAGGTCGTGTAAGAATTTGAAATCAAAGCTTTAAAGACACTGACATTCTCCCACTGCCTCTCAGACATGCATGTGTTCAGCTAAAATGCACATTTGACAAAAATCAGCTTGTTGACTATCCACATATGACTGATTATCACAATGAGCCTCTGTGATGGTTTGGGCATAGGAGCTTCCGGTTATTCCTTCAATTCAGAAGACTATCCAGCTAATGTGTTTCCAAGGCAATGAAAGGAATATTTCATTCCAAGGAGCATTTAAAACAGTAAAATTTAATAACCCCTCATGTGCTTTCTAACATAAATTCCTCATTATTTTTAGTGGACTTGCTATTTAATAGTATATGCACTTATTTATTCAATGAATATTTATTGAACATCTACCAACTATGTCTTTAGTTAACATCTGCTGCACCATAAGTGTCTTTTAAAAGTTCCCCCCAAAACTTGGCAAATTGTTGGAAAATGATGTTGGAAGTTGTGGGATCTTGTGGGGAGTTAATGCCTTACACAGCAGTAATTATGATTACAATAAAACATACAGAATGTTTTTACAATGCTTTAAAATTTTAATGTTTGTAATGATCTTAATGGGCTCCCAAATTAAAGAAGTTTTACATGGGCACAATAACAAAGCAGTAATTGGAGTCATACTTAATGAAAATAGAAACTAAATTTTGTAGAATAAGATTTATATTAAACCAACTGATTCGATTCTAATGACAGTCTTCTCTCGCGTGTAGCCATATATACTCCCTTAGGACTTCTCTATGACAAATAAAAGCACATATGAAGCTTGAATAAAGCCCTTCACAAATATTAATTCACCTTGATGAAATGTGACAGAATATTATTTTAACTTAATCGGGAGTCTGAGATCATGATCTCTAAATCAAAGAGGACTCCAAAAGATCCACCATTATATTTTTGGATTTGAATTAATATACTGTCACTTCAGATTATTTTGATTTACTTGTTGATCTTCCGTTTTTTTCTAAAAATTGTTAAGGCTAACATGTCACATAAAGTTTTTTTTTTTTTTTCAGTTTTATGGATGAAAAAAGTAGCCAGATTTCTATGGACAGCTTTTCAGTTGAGAGACCCAAGTTCTGCCTGTAGATTCACTTTATTTTCTGGAGGGCATTGCAAAGGATTCCAACTTCACCTAAAAAGAAGAAAACCATTGGTTAGGGCCACCCATATAATTTAAAAATACCCTTGGAGAATCCACAATGTGTGGAACCCTAGGGAATCAGTGGACTTCCTGAAGAAGCTGGGTGTCATTCAAATTTTATGGCACCTACAACTTAGTTATGGAGATAGGAGTTGGGCAGTTGTGCTATGGGTAGTCCCATGTTTTAGGATGTGCTAGAGCTATTAATATAATTATCTTCCTCTTTCCAGAGGCTGTTCACCAGGGAAGGACTTAACAAGTTTCTGCCCAGGCACACACTAGCTGTTCTGTTACTTTTTACATGACTATCCAAAGGTGTCTCAAGGAACTAAGTCACTAAACCCAAAAGAGTGGTTCATACAAATCTCACATGTCAGAATCGCCTGAGGTCTTATTGCCAATACAAACACCCAAAACTTAGCACAAATTTAGTAAATTTAGTTTGGAACTTTTTGATTTTTTAGCCATCTTCCTAAATGATTCTGGTGCACATTAATGTTTGGGAATGTGTGCTCTAAGCAGATCACAGAGCTTAGATTGTCAGATCCCTAGACTAAGGTGTCATGTGATTCCATTCATGCCAAGTTTTCACAAGCCAAAGAACACAGGTCAGATACTCATTATAAAAGTGGAAGAAGTCTTGGGTGTCAATAAACCTCCTTCCCTCCTAGATCCAGAAGAAGCAAAAGTGGAAAGATGATGAGGTCTTCTATAACGTCATATAGTTCTAAGAACCCTCAGTTCCTAAACTGGTTAGTTTGTGCTCTTGAAAACCCCCTGATAAATGATAATCTATGGAATTATTTTTGTCTTTTCAGAAACAATTTGAAAAAATAGCTATGGAAATGGTAAAAGCAGCTATAGCCTCACACCTCTGTCTTACATCCCAGCCTCTGGAGTGCCTGGCGCTTCTTCACTGAATACATTGACACCAAATGAGTGTTTCAAGTGATTTTTTTGAAATGAGAAATCACAGACAGCCATACCTACTGTGGAACGTTGTCAGTGATGAGGGCAAGTTCTGTGTATTGGAGGTACCACAGGCAATGTGAAAGGGGCATTACAGACACTTCAAGCCAAACTATCCCTTTGGAGTGCACTGGCATTATGCAAGGCAGGAATTCCTGCCTGGGCCAGAATCCAGAATACCTCCCTACGGGCTCCCCTCTTTGGTAGTTCCATCTATTCATTCAATAGCTCTTGAGTACCTAATATAATTCTTAGAAATAGAGCTATGAATAAACCTGCTGTGGCTTTCTGCCCAAGTCTAGATGGAGAGACAGCCAAGTGAACAATTATAAAACAACAGTGAGAAATCCTCTATGAGAGGAATCTCCAGGCACTGGAAGACAAAGGAAGGGTCTCCAACCACTCTTCCTACAAGAAGAGGTATCTACACAGGACTTAAAGGTAAACAGGTTGTGGACATCTCTAAAAGGGCCTGGGAAGAACAGTATTTTAAACAGAAAGAATTACATGGGCAAAAGGCCAGGAACAACCAGAGAGCACAGGAACTAGAAACTGATCAAAATTACTAGAAAACAATTCGAAGGGTTGGGGGGGGGAATCAGGTATGAAAAAGGTAACTTTGTGATTTTTTTTTAAGAATAGCTATTATAATTCTATAACCGAGGAAGAGTAGAAGGCAATAGATGAGCTACTGGGGAGCTGAGAATGGAGACAGAACTAACTCTTTAGGAGATGAGATTCCAGGCAGAGTGATATCACCTGGACACTTGGAGGAATGGGATGAGAGGCACCTGAGAGTGGCAGACCAGGTGTAGAAAAGTGGTGTAGAGAAAGGAGATGGAAGGGAGTCTCAGAGGGTGAAAGGAAAAGGAACTCTCAAGGCAACCTCTCCTTTTTGCCAAATTCTTCTCTCCCGATGATCCCGTGGCTTACGTGGGGATGTCTCCAAATCCAACATGTAATAAATCTCCTATTGTTCCTATAGTGAGGTAAGAAAACACAACCCTGTGTTTCTGGGAAAGAGGGGTAACTACTTACTGTTGATGGAGTCCGCCAAAATCTTAATCTGCTGGGTGTTGTCCAAGACCTCGATCCTCTGAGTGTAGGGGTCATAACGCACTGAGAAGGGTCGAGGGATCGTGGCAGCAAAGTTCCTGAAACCAAAACTGCAGGTCAGCTTTTGGAGAAAAGTCTCTTTTTTCCTGTGGCATTTCCCTTCGTTAACACTGAAGCCTCACTAGAACAGGGGCTTCCAAAGCCAGGGCTGAGAACAACATAGAACTTTAGGGAGATCCTCTTGGGGAGCCTTCATGATGCTGCAGGAAGGTGAGGCTCCCGGAGTGAGGAGGATGGAGGAGAGAACTAGAAATGCCAAGCAGGAAGGACTGAGGGTCCTTGAGAGAGAGGTGGAGGTGGGAGTCATTTTAGGGCAGAGCAAATGGACTTGTGGGCCAGAATTTTACCTTTAATTACTCCATCTAAATGCACCAAAGGCTGACATACTCAGCCTCAGAATTCCAAAGGCCTACATGTCCTGGGTCCATCACCTGATGGTTCTAAGCTATTTCCTAAAAGTGGTGACAGTGACTATCAGGACATCCATGTTAGGTAGACCCTCTGCTCAGCCTGTCTCCTGCTTGGATGAGAACCTGGTTTGAGGGTTGCAGGGCTTGTAGGCAAAGCTCTCAGCTCAGAGGCCCAAGAGTCCCAGAGTCCTGAAACCACTCTGAGGCCTCTTGCTGAACTGCCTCTGGGACTGACCCCTTTCACTAGTTATCGATTCAATGCCTTTTTTATGTCCGGTACTATTCTAGGGACTCAAGAAAGAGCAGGAAACAGAAAGCACAAACATTCCTACCTTTATGGAGCTTAAATTATAATACGTTAGAAGTTCAGAAGTGCTAGGAAGAAAAATAAATCACAGAAGTGCTGAGGGAATGGTTGGATGGAGATTTTAAGAACAGTCAGGTACTGCATAGACACATTTTGGCCGATTATAGACCATATATATAACAGAGGTCCCAGAAGGTTATCCAGGAACTGGAATATTACTCTTGCCAAGTGACACCATAGCCATTGTAATGTCATAGTGCCACATATCACTTATGTGTTTATGTTGATGCGATGTCAAAAAACCTACTACTCAACCAGTCATACAAAAGTATAGCAATACAATTGTGCATAATACAAAATACTTGGCAACAGTTATGTTACTATGCTACTTTTCTATGTATTTACTATACTGTACTTTTTAATCATTATTTTGGTGTTCTTCTACTTGCAAAAATAAATATTTTAGTGTAAAATAATATTCTGTGTCATGCCAAGCAGCAGCCTCATACATCTCGGCTTTATTATGCCTCATAGCTAGAATGTTTGCATCATTTTCTCTGGTGCTTGATTAATCTTGTGTTATTTTGTTCATCAAGGCCTTAGGAGCCATGGGCTGTGCATTGTATGTGCCATGCAGCTGCAGTGTGCAGTAGGCTTCACCATCTAGGTTATTATGTATGTACGTGCTATGACATCAATGACACAATGACAATCACCTAGTGATGAATTTCTCAGATACGTGGTTGGTTGATGCATGATTGACCATAAGAGATGAAGACAAAGAGATTAAATTTGGGGAAAGATATAAAGGAGGTAAAGAAGCAAGTTATGCAGGTATTAGAAGAGCAAAATGAAGAAGGTATTTCCTGTGGTTGGAAGACTTCCCTGACTGATTTGGTGGGGTGGGTGGGGGAGACTTTTTGGCCACTCTGCACACACAGGGTTCCGTGACTGGACTTGGTGTCTACACTGAACAGAGACCTGATGTCAGAACAGATGTCCAACAGAGAGTGGAAAGGGATGAGGGTGGGGAAGTTCTGCAGGCTGACTGCCCACAGATCAGCATCACCAGCCCGGGTCAGGGACTCCCAGAGCTAAGGACCCACCTGGTCACCACCTCACCTCACTTTCTCCTTGGCATCACTGAAACTCTCAGCCACGTAATACAGGGGCTGGAACTCTGTGACCTTGTATGTCTGAGTCGCTGTCGTCTCCAACTCCAGGGGGAGGAGTTTCGGCTTGTCAGATAAGCAGTACTGCAGGCACCAAGTGAAGGGCTTTCAGTTAAATCAAGATCAGGGATCCTGTTCTCCCCATAGGCTACTTGCACATCTTATTTTACCTTGATTCCTTCTACACTCCACCCAAACACAGTCAACCACATTATTTTGCATATACTAGATTCATCTAAAATCCTTCTTAGCTCATCTAAAACCCACAACCAAGATAGGAAGTGGTAACTCATTCCAAGTACTTTCAAGCAAAGAGATCAACAGGCACTGTGGGAGCCAACCACATCTTCTGGCATGTGTTTGCATCCATGGAAAGTTGCATACACAGGTCAATCTTAGGATCAGGAGTTTCCTCCTCCCTAGGGCCCTGTGCACTTGCAGTTGAACTTCTACCTCTGACACCCACAGTCATAATCAAATCATAACTGCTAAGGTACCAATCATTGGATGATGAGCCTCCCATTGCATCTCAAAATGGATACACGGGGCCTCAACAATACCAAGAAAATGAGAATGGTCTCCTCTACTCACCATTTTTAAATCCATTTCTGGTTCCTGTTAGGGTCATACCTGTAATTCACCAAAGGATGACAGGAGCCCAGCACCATATGCCTTTATGGAATCCCCTTGCTTGCAGAGCCCAAACTCCACGGTGAACCAGTAAATCTGGAATGGAAAGCCATGCTGAGAGCATACCCCAAGTAAGGAGAAGGTACCAGATACCCTAGGATTAAGGAAGGAACTGCCCAGGTAGGAGCCTGTGTGAGTCTGTTCTCTGAGTCAGTGCTGCTCGACCTCACTTCTCTGTATCCTGTGCCTCACCCTACCTACTCACCTGTTGAATCAAGAGTTGGCTGAGTCCAAGGTATGATGGGAAATACACCTTGATGGGCACTAAGGAAGTCTCCTAAAGATAGCACCAATAAATTCCTCTAACATGGGAACCCCTCTTTTCTTTTTGATTTTTTTCACTGTGCCATAAACTATGATGATATGTCCCTAAAATGTTCTGAAATTGGTAGGGTTTGTCAGGTAATTCCATCAGGTCTAGCAGTGGGTGGTAGGGGACTGGGTGGTGGTGGAATCAATGAGGGGCGCATCCCATTGTCCATGCTAAAACTTGGAGTGTTGCTAAAGTCAACCACTGTACTTATCTCCCCAAATAACCAAGTCCTTTCCCCTCAACAGTTCCTAGTCCAACACATCCTAGATGCCTGCCCTGGGGAAAAGTGTCTTGGGGTTCTTGGCTTAGAAACTGGGGAAGGATGTGTTGAAATTGTGGAGTATAAAGGAAGGAAATCACCTACTACGCAGATTTGCTGCTTCTATAGCTTCAGTGAATGAGTGTCATTATAGTCACATGGGAGAGAGAATGAAGAGCCCACCCCGTTCCTACCTTGTGTCTGAGAAAAGAACCTAATGTTGGCTCCACTATAAAGGTGGAGATGTGAACATTCCCTCTTCAAAGTTGTGAATCCAGACTACTTCACAGCACACTTTAGACCCAAGGCATTTTGATTAGCATAGCCAGTTGTTATTTTTAAGAACACTCTGTTTAAAATTCTGTGTAAACATCTACATGCAGCTGCCTCCAAAATAATCCAAGAAGGAGAAATCAAAATGTGAGGCTTCCCCTGGGCAAATGGAACCCACTGCATTCTGATTCCACCCCCCACCCAAATAGCCTGCCTTCCAGGAAAGAGCAAGTTTTTAGGCTCTGAAGCCACATCACAGCACTCCCACCATCCACCTAGGGGGAGGAAAGACTCACAGTGGCGAGTTTCTCGATGTACTCATCAGGAGCACCCAAAGAGGCCAGGCCAATTTCCTGCATGGTGGAGAAGCAGAGTCACCAACTCAGCCCATCCCAACCCCTACCCTTGGTACCAGGCTGAGGCTTGACCAAAGAAAGGTCACGAGTGGCCAGCTGTCTTCAGAAGGGCCCAGATGGATCCTGTGTGTTCTGTCAAGTCTTCCCTGCCCACACCTCATAGAAGCAAAGATCTCTAGAGCCCGGGGAACCTTCCAACATCATTTGGTTCTTTTGTGCTCACTTTACAAATGAGGTACAGAGAAGGGAGGTGACTGTTCATGGTCACACAGGGCGTTGGTATCTAAGACTCTTGTTTCCAGTCCAGTGATTTTTCTCCCATAGCAAACATGGAACATTCCTGGAGTATCAGATGAGGCTTAATCATGTACCTCGGGACACCACAGGAGAACTCAGATGAGTGTGTGAAACGCTTCCAGGTCTAACACCCAGCTGGAGAGTTTGAAATGTCATGGATCATTTCTCATCACAACTTCAATTGCAGAATTCCTCTCATGGTCTCTTGGTTTGTCAGTGTGTGTGTATGTGTGTGTGTGTGTGTGTGTGTTTCCAACTTTATGCATTCCTTCCAAAAATATTTATTGAATGCCTTCTGTGTGCCTGACTATGTACAAAATTGACACAGATTCTTGACTTTGTGGTTTGTATATCTATGCATATACATAGATATGTGGTACCCTGAATAAGTTCTTTGGAAAGAAGAGACAGAAGAAAAAAGGGACCAGGAAGATTACAAGTTTCAGGGAGTCTGGGAGAGGTGCAACCTTAAATGGGGTTTCCGAGGAAGCATCATTGAGAAGGCAATATTTGGGCAAAAATTTGAACAAGATCATTGGTTCTACTGATCTCTGAGGAAACTACATTGTAGGCCAAGCACACAGACAATATAAAAATTCCTTAAAGTGGGGAAATACAAGTTGGTTCAAGCAATAGAGAGGGAACCATCGTGGCTGAGAAGGGATTCAGAGTCAGATTATGTCGGACTATTTTAGGGCTTGGGCTTTTCTTTTCAGTGAAATGGGAAGCCATTCCAGGGTTTTGACCAGAGAAGTGGACAGGATCTGACTTATGTTATCAAAGACTCACTCTGGCCACTGAACAGGAATGGGCTGTAGGGATCACAAATAGAGGCCGGATGCCAGGAAGGAGGCTATGATGTCAACAGGGTAAAAGATGACAGTGGGTGACTGACGCAGGGTGTAGCAGTGGACGTGGTAAGACATGGTCAGGCACTATGCCTATCCGAAAAGTAGAATGCACAGAGGAGACTGAAAGATTAGTCGTGCGGTAAATGAAAAAGGAGGTGATAACATTCTCCTGTGCTTTTGGTTTAAGCAACTGGAAGAATAGAGTAGCCGAGGATTGATATGAGGATGTTTGTAGGTGGAAGTTTGGACAAGATTTGAAATTTAGTTCTGGACCAGATGATGGAAATATCTAATTAATACCCAAGTGGAGCTTTTGAGTAAGCAGGTGGATATATAAGCCTGAGTTTGAGGACTGCAGTCTGAGCTGAGGACATAAATTTGTTCATCATCGAAGTCAAGAAAGTATTCAAAACCATGGGATTTGGTGAGATCACCAAAGGAATGAGTGTAGGCAGATAGAACTAATAATTGAGACAACTTTGAAGCAAGAGGATACATGGTTTGCATTTCTTTTTTTTTTATTATTTATTTTTTAGTTTTCGGCGGACACAACATCTTTGTTTGTATGTGGTGCTGGGGATCGAACCCGGGCCGCACGCATGGCAGGCGAGTGCGCTACCGTTTGAGCCACATCCCCAGCCCCTGGTTTGCATTTCTATATCCCTCCTGCACCAAGCCCAGAGCCTCAACCCCACTATGCTTAGAAAATGCTATCAAATGTAGAGTAAATCAGATTCAGATATTGTCCTTAACCTGGCTCTCCCTCCATTGTCTCCATTCCAACCACCTTTCCAAAAAAGCCATAATCCCAAATCCAACAAAATCCATTGATAAATCCAAGATCAAAATGGTGCCCAATTTTTTTCACTACCATTCTCCCTGAGCTCAGAGCTGGCCCCCATTATTTCCCTGTGCTCCATCCCAACCCCAAACTTCCCTATAGTGAAAAGCAAGTTCTACCTTTAGGTCAAAAAGGAATGTTCTCATAGAACTTTTAAAATGTCTCCTTGCCTGTGGATTTTCCAGATCAAAGGTGGAACCATGTGACACTGATGGCCCCACAGCTCTCATCTGTTGTACATAACTGTCCACGCCTCTGTGGGGTCCCCAAAATGGAAATGGCTTAAGGGGGATTGACACTTAGCCTCTCACTTGGCAGAAGAATTTCTGGAGGTAAAAATAGAAGTATCTATTCTCCAAAGAGAAAAGTGATAGTTCTCTAATATAGTAACTAGTCCCTATTCAAAGCTGTCCTGAGTAATCAATACTATCTGGACAGCTGTAACTACACTGTCAGTGAAAGTGCTCCCAGAATTAAAGTTAACTAAGCTGTACACCCTCCCACTTTTAAAAGTCCAACAATCTCCAAATTCCATTAGCTCCCCCAAACCTCACACAGAAGTAACAAAAGCTTTGTCTGTTTAGAGAGTCTGTGTCTTACAAGAACAGTTCTCCCAGACTTAGTAAGCAATGAGTTTGGCTTTCTGTTTTGTCCATTTGTTTCAAACATGAAGTGGTATCCTCTTAATTCATCAGTGGAAATATTTATTTCTTCCAGCTGACAAAAAAAATGATTATAATATTCACACTCAATCCCACTATTCTGAAATTCAGACTTGGCCTGGCATTTCCTCATGGGTTATTCTGTTTGATCCTCATTCTTCATTGTGAGGAAGAGAACTGTCAGGGAAGGCTTCTTACTGATCAGATCTGTGCAAACAAAGACAGGGTGCCCTGGCGATCACAGAGCTGAGCATTGGTAGGGTTGGATCCTCTGAGTGCATCAGAGCCATCATGCCACTCAACCATGATCCCAGCTACCCCAAGCCTGGTTTTAGGCTGCCTTTCAGTACCTGGAGAGAATTAGTAGAATATTTTCATTCACCCGAAAAGATTTTTCTTTTGAGTTTGCTCATCACTGTAAAAGATGAATCAAGGTCTAGATTGCTGCTTTGATGATGGTGAGGAGACACTGGGCTCTTTATTATTTACATATTTATTTATTTTTTTCAACTGTAAGTCAGGTCCTTGGCATTTGATTCTCAATAAATATCATCTTATTTAATTCAAATACATACACCAATGCCTGGTGTATGTACTTGTATGAAAGTCCGTAAAGAAAATGAGAGTGGGAAAGTACTAGGGGAACTTGGAAGAAGGCAAGGTGATGTCTGCATGGGAATCAAGGAGACATTCACAAATGAAAGGCTCTTAATCTAAATCTGGTAGGATAAGTAAGATAAGTAAGTTTGACGGTGCACAATATGATTTGGAGGATGAGCGATTCATCCTGGATGATGTCCCTAAAATGGGTATTTAGCCAACTCCACAGACCCACACACCCCTCTCAGATAGGATCACAGGACTAGACCAGGTTTCCACTCTTGCAAAGGATGTGTAAGGCTCTCTCTAGGGCTCAGCTCATTTGAGAAATCCAGGCCCAACTCTATAACTAGAAGGGGGAAAATAAATCCATTCCTTACCTGGGAAAATTGGGCAAAGCTGCGATCTGAAAACAAGGGCACATGTCCCAAGAGCTCATGACAGATGTCACTGAAAGACACAAAGTAGAGTTTGGAGGAGAGGAGGGTTAGGCCAGGCCAGAATTCATCTTTCTACATGAGGAATGGGCAGAAAGAAGGTAAGTAACTCCTTTAGGCTAATGCCTTCACTCTCACGAATAAGTGATATGCAGAGTGTGAGGTCAGTTGAGAAATGGAAGAAAGGCAAAGGAAAGTAAGGATCAGGCACAGGGCAGGGCACAGCAGCCAGGGGGCATAGGGATATGTCCACTAGGGTGTAGGGCAGGACCTAAGAGCCTTTCATACACCTAGGTGAGCTGTGGGTCATAAGCACTTTCCCATTCCAAGTCTTCTGTATGTTCAAATTTGGTCATTTTGGACAGAGAAAATCCTCAGAATAGACGGGATTCCTTCCCTGTTAGTATTGCCATCAAATAATTCAGACAACTAGTCCTGAGGATCAGCCTACAATGATCCTAAACCTTGTTTCTGGAGCAGAAAGGGTGACACCCACTGTGGCTAGCAACAGGCGCTGGAGGATAGTACTCACGGTTCAGGGGTGTACATGGGCTTGGATCCGTGTCTGATGTACTGTGTGCAGTGGAACACTCGGAAGGCCAGGCCATTCAAGAAATCTCGGGAAGACAGCAGGCCAGCCACTGGTCGGAGGCGGAAGCCAGTACAACCTGGGAAGCAAAGAACAAAGACTCAAACCCCTTTGCGGAGCAGCCAGAGGGTCCTAAAGACCTCCAGGTAAGAAAGCAGTACCTGCACCTGCCCTGGAACAGGTACTCTGATGCCAAGCTGGTTTGGCTTCACATCTCTACCCCACTGTTTTATGAATGGCTGATTTGGGTCAAGTAAACACATTTCTGAGCCTCAGTTTCCTCATCTGCAAAATGTAGATAGATAGTGCTTAAGGATATTTCAAACATCACGGGAGTGCTAAGTACAAAGTACTTAGCACAGAGCTTAGTTCACTGGAAATACTTAGCATATTTCACTTTTATTATTGCTTGTTAGAGTTGAACACTTACTCACTAATTCTTATTTTTCCAGTGTTGGAAGGGAACGTTTACTCTGTTGCCCAGAGGAAAGAGAATGGAAGAAATAGTTCCAGTTTCTCTGCTGTGCCTCACACAGTCCACCCCAGGAGGAGCTGGGACCTGACTTCAGTATTGGGGAAGAAGAAACAAGGATTGTGACTTTAACCCTTCCCCTGGGGCTCCTTCTTCATTGACTGCCTATGGAGCAACACATTCTGGTCTACTCTTAGCTATGCACTGTGAATTGGCAGGCTAGTTTCCCTAACCAAGGACAAAATACTGGGAAGTCCAATACGGGATTGACTGGACATCTATACCTGCGTATCTTTTCTTTAAAACCGACATTGTGGTCACCATCTCTCCAGGTCCTCTGTCATTCAATTTGTTCCATACTTAGAAGGAGAACAGTAATCACATTGATAATGATAATAAGAATAGCTAATACTCTAAATGACCTGCCATATGCCTGACACTGTTCTGAGAACTTTACATGTGCTCACCGATATTTGCACTGACACTGAGATAGACGCCATTATTATCCCCCTTTATAGTGGAAGACGCTGAGACACAGAGATTGAAGCTCTTGTCACAAGCCACAAGCAGTCTGGCTTCAGAGGCTAGTCACTTAATTATAATTATATAATTCCCCAAATGCTAGTATTACTGTTTTATTATTCTTATCATTGGCTAAAGATAATAATCAGCTACAGAAGGTCTTCAGGACCTCCTTTCCTCTTCCCTCGTGTTCACTGTATCTTCAGGCTAAAGCTTCTTCTTGCTCTTCTCTTTATCTAAGGAGACTCTCTCAACAGAAAAGATCCCAAAACTCCTATAGCCCAACCTGTCCCAGCTACAACGTCCCTCCCTGCCATCTAGTTTCCTGGAGCCTCGCCCCAGAGTCTGCACAGTTCATATGAACAGAAAATTCTCAGTTGCTATAAACCTGCACTCTGTCTTCCTACCTTTTCCCTCAGTCTACCTGGCACATAGTAGGTATTCAGTACGTGCTGATTGTTTTATTTTGTTTTTTTCTGGATTAACACCCTCTTTGCAGAAGGGAGAGTACCTCTCTCTGAGCCACTCAGAGGCAATTCAGTCCAAATTCCCCGAGCAGCCAACACTAGGTGCTGCTTTCATGTGCGACATCTTATTTCACTCTGATGACATCCCTGTGAGAAAGGCTAAAGGGTTGACAGAGTCTCCATTGAACAGGTGGCCACACTGAGGCAGGTTTACCCAGCTAGAGAAGGTCAAGGGCAGGATTCATGTCCGAGGCATAGACCACCCCACATAGGGCATTTACACAAATACTGCAGCCATCTCCTGAGAGCAAACCTGCAGGGAGAACCCTGACTGGGCACCTTGAGCTTTGTGTATAATAAAAAAATTAAAATTTAAAAACAACAACAACTTCAGGGACAGATGTAGGGCATTACTACCAACTCTCTGACTCACTCTGGCTTCCAGGTACCACCCCTTCCCGCTCCTCTCCCCCAGCCCTCCCGCTCCCTCAGGACCCTTGACCTTGGGGAGGACTCACTCTGCAGGAACTGAGAGACATCTTCCAGCTGGGGAATGTTGTCTTCACGGAAGCCACAGTACTTTTCCAGCAGAGGGAAAATGTGATTGTACTCATAGCAAGCGTGGGTTTTATACAAGGACTTCAGGGTCCTGAACACCGTCCCCCACGTGTTCTTCTCTTCCTCCGTGTATTCCACCCGAGGGATGGGCTGCCCACTAGAACACAGACAGGAAACAGGTGTCTCCAGGGGACCCGGCAGAGCAGACAGGGGAACGCAGGCCAAGTCACCAAGAGTCGAGCTCCAGGGTTTGTGGGCTGCCACCACTGCCTAACTTCAAAAGTTATGTGAGCAGGGCACCGTGGCACATGCCTGTAATCCCAGCAGCTCGGGAGGCTGAGTCAGGAGGATCGCGAGTTCAAAGCCAGCTTCAGCAAAAGTGAGGCACTAAGCAGCTCAATGAGACCTGTCTCTAAGTAAAATACAAAATAGGGCTGGAGACGTGGCTTAGTGGTTGAGTGCCCCTAAATTCAATTCCTGGTACCTATCGTCCCCCAAAAAAATTATGCAAAAAAGGAAAATTCCACGTACTGATATAGAAACATTATCGTGTTGGTTTTCCTGGCGCATGAGTAATTTGATTAAACAGCAATATATGCCCTCACTTCACTGCTGACACTGGGAATTTTGCTCTCACTGTGGGAAATCATTTGGTCCTGCTGCTGTTCTCTCTAATTGTAGGGGCCAGTCAGGTAGCCAACAGGTATAAAGTGGCAGGTATAGGGTGATAAGGAGGAGGGTGCTGAGGCAATTCCAGAATGCTTCCTCTTTCTAAACAAAGATACCTGACTTCAGTTAAAGCAACACAGTGCCTTGTGTTACAGCAACTAACACAATTAACCCTGTGGGCTAAGCTGGATCTGATAGGTGGGTCCTGGGTCATGAGTTTCAAACAGCTTTCTTGAGTGGGTGTGTGCCTGCTGAATTTGGTATTTCTACTCCTGGGAAGTTACAAAGGTATTTACCTGCTAGGAGTCCACAATGTGTATATGTAAATACTATATATATATATATAAACATATGTGTTTTGTCAATACAAATATATTTTATATAAATGCATACAAGTGTATTGTATGTGTTTTTTATTTATCAGTTTAAAAGAAAAAAATCTAAATCAAGGGTAAAAATTAAATAAAGAGTGAGACAGGTAAATAAATACATGCTAAGGTATAGCCAACACCGAGCTTGACAAAATACACACACTGGGCCCTGCCCCATGGGTTCTGAATGTACTGGGTGAGGACGACCCAGACTTTGGAATTCTGATCAGCTCCCCAGGTGACTGTTACGTACTTTGTCATTTATTTGAAAGGCCCTGAGCTGTGATCTGAACAGTGAAAACAAATGAAAACAAAACAAAGTCTGGTCTCAAAGACCAGTGATGTGTCCTGGGCTGTGGGCCTGTTTCCCTCACAGGGGACACAGTCTAGGACAAAGTCAAACTGTTTACCTCGGAATTTCAGATCAGGCTCCAAAGTTGATCCCTCCTGCCCTTTCAAAGTTGTAGCACATCCAAGGAAACTAAAGTCAAGTCACTGTTATTTTCTACAGAAATATGAGCAGGGATTAGGGGGAAAGACATGGTTTTGCTTATGAATTAAAAGCTAGACAAGCTTGGAGGATCTTGTGGGGACCATCAAGGACTGTGAAAGAACATTAGGTGAGCCCCTCGGAATGCACCATTATTTTAGAGCCAAGTGCTGGCACTTGGAGGCGGAGGGGGGAAAGGCTTTGGAAATGAACAGAAACTGGTTCAACACTCGTCTGCCCTTTCCTGGCTATGTGTCCTCAGGAAATTTAATAAACCTCTCTGAGCCTCAGTCTGTGCAGCTGTTACACAGGTTAATGGCAATAACTATTGGTAAGGTATGGATAAGATTAAGTGAAATACTAAGGGCAAAGTCCCTAACACTGGTACTGACAAAGAGCAACCAGTAGATTGTTGATCATGACCATTATAACTGATTCTCATTTAAAAAGAAAGGCATCTGATATTTCCTTTCTTTTTCTGTACCAGGGATTGAACCCAGGGGTGCTTAACCACTGTGCCTGAGCCACATCCCCGGTCCTTTTTATTACTTTATATTTTGAGACAGCATCTTGCTGAGTTTCTTGGGGTCTTCCTAAGTCGTTGAGGCTGGCTTTGAACTTGTTATCCTTCTGCCTCAGCCTCTGAAGCCACTGAGCTTATAGGTGTGTGCCACCATACCTTGATACTTCTGCAACAAATTTCAAGAGTTAGTAGCATCCAAAGCACCAAGATGTCCCCCTGGTCAAGATTTGCTATTCTAGGGACCCAGAATCTGTTCCTTATTCCTTCAGTAAAGTACCCACCTTCCCTGTCAGTCTACAATGTCTGGGTACAAGAAGGTTCCATTCCCCATCTTCAGAGGTGAGTGTTATAACCAGATGTGGCCAATGAGAGAGTCCTGTTCCCTGGTCACAGTGACTGGCTGAGGGATAGACAAGTCCTGGTCAGAGCTGATGAGACTCAACCACGGAACTTTGACTTTGTTGGAAAGAGATGGAACCTCTATTGGGTCAGCCTAGAGGTACTAGGGTCCATCTTCAGGAGAGGTGAGGTCAATGCCTGAAAACCATCTAGTGCAGAGGCCACTACAGCCAGAGAGAAAGAGAGAGAGAGAGAGAGAGAGAGAGAGAGAGGCCCTGAGTCCTGGGCCTGCCTGTACCCAGCTGTCAGACACCACGGAAGTATTGAGAATAACTTTAGAGGTAAAATTAAAAACCTAAAAAATTTTATCACCTATTAGTTATATGACCTTGACAAGTTACTTCACCTTTTTAGGCCTTAGTTTTCTCATTTGAAAATTGAAAGTTATTACTAAGACTGAAAAAAAAATAACATACACAAAGTATTTAGCAAAACCCCAAGTACACTGTAAGGACATTTCAAATATGATCTGTCCCCACAGACTCCAAAGGAGGACTCTTGCCTGTGCCTGATATGGAAGGACAAAGGTGACGACAGAGAGAAGTCACCTGTTCTGTGATTCCTGGCTCAGCAGAAGCCACGGCCCAAATGGGCTTAGATCTGACCAAGGGCTGCCAGGTTCTTGATCTTGCTACTCTCAGGAGTTATTCAGAGAAGGAACGTTCCCCCATTTTCTCTAAAGATCTTTCCATTGTTTTCAGGTTAACTAGGAACTCAGTGACCTCAGTGTACCAAGTCCCAGCACCTCGGTTATCTCAGTGATAATCTCATCAGAGCTGCTGAAGTACTATCACCTTAGTACTCTGCCCACCTTTTGGGCCTCTTTCTGTGCATATCTTTGCTCATTTCCTTAACTCAGGGATGGCACTGTCCCTCCAAACATAAGTTTCCCATGGTAGGATTGATGGAGTTCATGAGGACTGAAAATAGCAGAACCATTCTCTTCCCAAACAACATTTTTGATATTTGCATTCTCTTTTGGCTAAGTTAGCATTGGGGAGGGGCATTCAATCCTGAATAGAGAAAAACATCCTAAAATTGCCCTTCACAGCTGGGTGAGACCAGACAAAAATGGAACTCTGCTGGCCCCAAACCTCTCATGATTCATTATTTCAGTAAAGCCGCCAATTCCTTCCTGAATACAAACGATCCTCTTTTTTTCCTTCAATGTGGAGAAGACCAGAGGCTGTTTCATTCAAGACTGAGACGTTTTGTAATGATTTCAGACACTGTGTCATTAGGCAACAAAGTTTGGGAGAGAACTGAGGCCTAGTGCAGTGGGTAATTTTGTTTTGTCTGGTAGCAATTTTTTTTTTAACATGTGCTATTAAAAGGAGGGCCTAAACATACACACACACACACACACACACGCGCGCATACACCATGGCACACTCCATGCTAGTATTTTCCAATCAAAAGCAAAAGAGATGTAGGCTAGGGGAAGGCATTTCTCTTATCTTTTCCGCAATAGGTGAGACTTACTGGCGGTAGTTGTAGGCAATGTCAGCAAACTGCTTTCTTCTTGCTCGGTACACAGGATCTTTAAAACCCTAAGAGAGAGGAGACACTTGATTACTCAGGCCTTTGTAGGAAAAATTTAGCTTCTCTATAAACACCTTGAATGGGGGCTTCCATGCTGGGCAGTGTGAGTCTCCTTCATCTGATTGCACCCTAAAAATACCGTCTCATTAAACTTAGGGTGAGCTCACGCCAAACACTCTGAATGACAAGTTATCAGCAATACCTTCAATTAGGCAAGACCCACCCTGCAGTGGGATTCCAAGGTCTACAGGCACACTCTGTTCTTAAAGAAATCTCATCCACAGCATTTTTCCCTTCTAAACCTGCTAAGTCAGGCAAAGATAGTAGGATAGACAGCCGGGTTGAAGATCACAAGGAGCCCTTCCTTCCTGACCAATGGAGCATGTTCAGCACGGCCTCCTAACTGCTTGATAGATAAATAGGTACCTGCTTATAGCAATTTTTAAAGATAACCTTTATTGAGTTCCTACTAAGTGCCAGTCTCTGTGTGCCAAGGGGTTATTGTATCCACAACTCTGACAACGAACTTTCCAGGTAGACCAATGCAACCATCTCCTTCTTTCTAGAATAAACAGCAGCTCAGAGAAATGGAGTCATAACAAAGGCCAGGCCAGGACCCGGATCACTCAGTTCTGAGCCCTTTCCAGTGCACTTCAGTCACTTGTCAACCTTTACAACCTGTCAGGGGCCCGACCAACTGAGAAATCCATCTCGGGACATCAAAAGGATGATAATGGCTTCTCCTCTGAGGCTGACTGGCAGCCAGTCTTTTTAAACAATTTCCAAGCAGAACATTTCCAAGTGAATAGAGGACAAGTATGTCTTCGAGTGTTGGGGGGCGGGCAGTAGGGCACATCTTGAGTGGGCAATGATTGCAATTGATCAAAAGGGCATTTTCCAAAAAAGTTTACTATAATCTGAATTTTGGTGAGACACAGACTAGTACATCATCTCAGAACTCTGCTTGGTTCCCTCCAGTAAGCCTCACCGTCCACCACTTTACCTTGCAATTCTCTGTCCCAATGACCCTCCAAACCACAGCATTAATGAATTGAAAGTTAAGGCTTGTATCATGAAGCTCAGCATTTAAAGAAGGTTTTTTTAAGATAAATAATTTCCTGATTTTCAAATGTTCTTTTGTTTGCTGGATTGGTTGGCTGGGTTCGTTCTTTCTTTCTTTCTTTTTTATATCATGGACACCAATAATTACGAAGAACCAGAAATCAATGAATGCAATAAAATTTCCTCAGAGAGTCTGGAACAGAGGATCTAGCATGCAAAAGGAACTACGGACATCTGCTGATGGACAGAAGTGGGGGTAGGAACCTACTTTGTTAACTAGGGTGAATTTTGAGAAATTGAAAAATCCAAATACTTCATAGAAAAGCAAAAAAAAATATGACTACACATTTTTAAATGACAAACCCAAATCCCAGTTACTATAGTAAGTGACTACTGAGTTTAGAAAAGATGCCGTGGATCTAGAATGTCCCCCTAAAGTTCATGTGTTAAAGGCTGGGTTCCTGGCTGGTGGTGTTATGGGGAGACAGTAGAAACTACCTGGCAAGTCTACCTGGCAAGTCGTTTCAAGAAGGTCAGGCCCAGCTAGAGGAAGTAGGACAGAAGTGTTCTTAAGAGGTATAGTTTGTCCCCGGCCTCTTCCCCTCTAGCCCCACCCCACCCACCTCCACTCCCACTCTGCTTCCTGACTGCCATGTAGTAAGTAAACAGCTTTCCTCCACCATGCCCTTCTTCCGTGATGTCCTGCCTCACTACAGGCCCAGGAACGATGGAGGTAAGATACCATGGACTGAAGCCTCTGAAACCATGAGCCAAAAGAAATCTCTCTTCCTGAAAGTTGATTTTCTCAAACATTTTATCACAGCAACGGAAAGCTGACTCTCACATGGCATGGTGATGATGATATGCAATCCTATTGTCTTCCCTGGAGAACTGACTGGTTTGGAATCATTAGTTTAGGGAAGCTTAGGAAACTGGGAGCTTGAGACTACCATTGGGTGTTCTACCATTGGGCAAAAATAAGTTGGTGTAGAATAATGTTGTAAGAAAATCTGGATTCCCGGGTTTTGTTTTGTTTTGTTTTGTTTTTTTTGGAGGCTATTGTGAATAGTTTTCCTAATGTCTCTTTCAGTGGATTCATCACTGATGTATAGGAATGTGTTTCATTTATGGGTGTTGATTTTATATCCTGCTACTTTGCTGAATTCATTTATTAGTTCTAGAAGTTTTCTGGTGGAATTTTTTGGATCTTCTAGATATAGAATCATGTCATCAACAAATAGTGATAGTTTGAGTTCTTCTTCTTTACCTATTTGTATCCCTTTAATTTCTTTCTTTTGTCTATTTGCTCTGGCTAGAGTTTCAAGGATGATGTTGAATAGGTGTGGTGAAAGAGGACATCCTTGTCTTGTTCCAGTTTTTAGTGGGAATGCTCTCAATTTTCCTCCATTCAGAATGATGCTGGCCTTGGGTTTAGCATATACAGTTTTTACAATGTTGCAGTATGTTCCTACTATCCCTAGTTCTTCTAGTGTTTTGAACATGAAGGGGTGCTGTATTTTGTCAAATGCTTTTCTGCATCTGTTGAGATGATCATATGATTCTTGGTTTAAGTCTACTAATATGATGAATTATGTTTATTGATCTCCGTGATGTTAAACCAACCCTGCATCCCTGGGATGAACCCCACTTGATCGTGGCATTATCTTTTTAATATGTTTTTGTATGCGATTTGTAAGAATTTTATTATCTATGTTCATCAGGGATATTGGTCTGACATTTTCTTTCTTTGATGTGTCTTTGCCTAGTTTTGGTATCAGAGTGATATTAGCTCGTAGAATGAGTTTGGAAAGGTTCTCTCCTTTTCTATTTCATGGAATACTTTGAGGAGTATTGGTGTTAATTTTTCTTTGAAAGTCTTGTAGAACTCAGCTGAGAATCCATCTGGGCCTGGGCTTTTCTTGGTTGGTAGGCTTTTGATGGTGTTTTCTATTTCATTGCTTTTTTTTTTTTTCAAAAGTCAGTGCTTAAAAGTCAAAAAAGCATTTAATTGTGTGGCAGGATTACCGGACCCCCAATGCTGTGCCCTGGAAGCATAACTCCTACCCCAAGTAGTTTCTCTTCCTTTGATGCCTTCATCTCTCTGTTTCATTACTTGAAATTGATCTGTTGAAATCATGTATGACCTCCTCATTCAGTTTGGGTAGGTCATGTGTCTCTAGAAATGCATCAACGTCTTCAGTAGTTTCTATTTTATTAGAGTATAAATTTTCAAAATAGTTTCTAATTATCTTCTATATTTCAGATGTGTCCGTTGTGATATTTCCTTCTTCATCTTGTATTTTAGTAATTTGAGTTTTCTCTCTTTTCCTCTTCATTAACATGGCTGGGGTTTATCTATCTTATTTATTTTTTCAAAGAACCAACTTTTTGTTTTGTCAATTTTTTCAGTTGTTTCTTTTGTTTTGATTTCATTAATTTCAGCTCTGATTTTAATTATTTTCTGTCTTCTACTGCTTTTGGTGTTGATTTTTTTTCTAGGGCTTTGAGATGTAGTGTTAGGTCATTTATTTGTTGACTTTTTATTCTTTTAATGAATGTTTCAACCTAGGTGTCCCTCCATAGATGAATGGATAAAGAAAATGTGGTATATATATACTCAATGGAATATTACTCAGCTTTAAAGAAGAGTGAAATCATGGCATTTGCCAGTAAATGGTTAGAGGTGGAGAATATCATGCTAAGTGAAATAAGCCAATCCCACAAAACCAAAAGCCAAAGGTTTTCTGTAATATGCAGATGCTAGTTCACAATAAAGTGAGGACACTGGGGAAGAATAGCATTACCTTAGATTAGGTAGAGGGAAGTGATGGGAGGGGAGGGGAGGGGATAGGTAAGGTAGTAGAATGAAACTGACATTATTACTATATGTATATATGTGACTGCATGACCAATATGATTCTGCAATATGTACACTCAGAAAAATGAAATTATATCCCATCTATGTATGATATATCAAAGTGCATAAATGCAGTCCACGGTCATGTATAACTAATTAAAACAAATAAATTTTTTTTAAAAACCAGAGAATTAAAAAAAAAGAAAAGAAAACCTGGAATCATGATTTGACTTCCAAGCAATATTAACATGTGTACAAGTAACCCACCTACTGGACTAAACAGAGAACACTTATCTGTCTACATGTGCATGCTTAGGACTCAAAATATACATTTAAATATAAACTTAATATTTGTCATTCTTACTGTCCATCTTAACAGTCAGTAGAAATGTCATTTCTAGTCCCTAGCTATAAAATGAACACCTTTGCTCCAGGCACCTTGGGGAATGTGTGTATATTTTGATCTAGAAATGAGGACAATTATTCCCACTGGGCCATTTGCTAAAGGGTCCTTAACTGCAGAACCAGCACCTTCATCAGGGTTTTCTGATCCTACCCAGGCTGGCAATTGAGATTTGAGAGCTGAATGAGAGGATCAGGGAAGCAAGAGAAGAATTCCTTTAATCAGTGGATCCCCTTCTCATGCTGCCTCCAGAATAGGATGCCCATGGTCATGTCTCTTCCCCATCTGGCTCCACGGTTGACCTATAATATGCTTTGTGGCCTAATGTTTTGCCTCCTGTGAAAACAAAAGCTTAATACAAGTTGTATGTCTAGCATCAACTGTGTCAGAGGGAAAATAAAATTATATAAATGAAATGGTGGAAGAAATACACCAAGCTCTAATAAGTGTTACTTGTAAGTAGTGGGGGCCATGTTTTATTCTTCTACACTATTTGTGCATTTGAAGCTTTCTACAGTGAGTATGAATTTCTTTCATAATTTGGAAAGAAAGCAAAATAATAGTAAAATCCATCTTAAGTCATCTTGGGAAAGTGGCAGAAGAGTCACATAACTGAGCTGCGTGAACACACCTATATCATATGCCACACAGACTTTCTACGTGAGAGAGTTTCAACCAAGGCCTTT